CGTGTTCCAAGAGATTAATACATTGCATGATATGTATGTAGAATTTATAATAATTACTATAATTCTGTCTATCAAGAGATAAGGCATCATTTTATAGTTTGGTACAGGGCCCCAATTTTCGCCGGCTCGGCCCTGCCTAGTAGGTAGGTATTTACCTGCTAGTTTTTTTTTAGAAAGGCGGCAAGAGATTTGCCAGATTTTTATTAGACGAGCAAAAAGGAACAAGAAAAAAGAATTACAATAAACAACGGAGACCAATCTCACCGCCAACACGGCACACCGGCCGACAACCCAACTAGATGCCCACCTGGACGACAACTTAAAATCTAGAAAAACACCCTGAAGCCGAAAAAACACAAAACCAGACCAACCGAACAGTGACCAACAAATGCTAGAACTACTCCTGTTGTGGTCCAGCATGAAATCTTGTTGCCGATTGGTATTGCTCTATATCTTGCAAAGTAGTGCCACCTGACTAAGCTGCATCGACTTGTTCTGAAATGTTCTTCGATTCATTTCCTTACATAAATTCCACCAAAAATAGATCATAATGCCATCAAATGCCTTTTTCTGGTCTTTGTCTGTCTTAATTCTTCACTTTCGCCAGTAGTTGTGCAGGGATCCTGTCATTCCGACAGTATCAATCATCGATAGGCTGAACCATCGCTTGATGAAGGACCAAACTTGCCTTGAGAAAGTGCAGTCCTTACAAAGATGTATCCGTGTTTCCGGGTCAATACCATAAAGCTTGCATACTAGATCATTTGGCCAATTTCTTTTAATCAAATTGTTTGCCATTAGGATTTTTTTATGCAGCAAAGTCCAAGCAAAAATCTACATTTGGGTTCCGCCTTTGCTTTCCAAATCGGTTGAAGTTTTAGTTTGTTGAATGTGCCCTGGAATTGAATGCAGTAGGTGCTTTTGGCTGTGTATTCCCCACCCACCGTCCAACGCCAACGGATGTTGTCCTCTATATTCTCGATTAGCTGGATTTGGCTCACCTCTTCCCAAAGGGTTATGTATTCTCTTATTTCCTGTGCAGTGCCTAATGGAATGACATATGATATCCTGCAGTTATCTTCCAAGGCCTTCTGCGCCATGAGATTTTTCCTTTTTGATTTCTTGAACAATGTTGGTGCAATCGCTTTCGGTGTTCGCCCACCGATCCAAGACGACGTCCATAACCTGGCCAACTTGCCATCACCTACGGTCACCACTGTCGAAGCCGTAAATAACTCCTTGTCCCGGCCATCTACCGGAAGGTCAAGCTTGTTCCAAGCTCTATCTCGGTGCTTCCATTGATACCATAACCATCGTAGTTTCAATGCTCTTGCGAAACGTTCAAGGTCCAGAACCCCTAAACCACCTTTCGCTTTGGGTCTACATGTTGTTGGCTAGTTGATAATGGAATGCCCACCATATACCTTGTCTGGCGTTTCTCCCCTCCAGCAATCGATCTTTCTGATTAACCATTTTTGTTTTGGGAATGCGGTCATATGATAAATTGGTTGAGATGATAGAACCATTTTTACTAGAGTCTCTCTCCCTGCTGAGGACAAGAACCTGCCCTTCCAACCTGGCAGTCTGGCTCCTATTTTGTCTATCAAAGGTTGTACCTCTACCCTGTGTAGTTTTCGGACGTGTAGAGGAAGTCCTAGATATCTCCCAGGGAAACTGCAAATCTTACCGGGGAAATTTTGAAGTAATTGAGAGACCACTGTGTTGTCCATTCTTATAGGGAAAATTTTCGTCTTGGAGATGTTGATTTTTAGCCCCGAGCATTCTCCAAAGAAGTTTAGTATCTTGAGTAGATGATCCAACTCTGTATTTGTAGGGTATGCGAAAATCGCTGCATCGTCAGCATATAGGGAGCACCTCAAATTAGCCGCCTTCGGTAGCACCGGTTTAAGGATCCCTCTTTGTGCTGCCGCTTCAATTATCCGTTGTAGCGGGTCAATGGCTAGAATGAATAAAAGGGGGGATAGAGGATCCCCTTGCCTTAACCCCCGTGCGTGTCTGATACCCTGGGTTGGCTCTCCGTTGATCAATACTTTTGATGTTGTTGTTCCAAGTAGGGCCGCTATCGAATCCCTCCATTTTGTGCTAAAGCCCAAAGCCTGTACAACCTCTAGCAGAAAGCTCCAACCTGTGGAGTCGAAAGCTCTAGAAATGTCCAATTTGATGAACAACGCCGACCTTCTCTTTTTATGCAACAGTTGAATCACTCTCTACGCGTAAATGAAATTGTCATGGATACATCTCTTCTTGATGAAGGCGTTTTGAGCATGTGACACTAAAGAGTTCAAGTGTGGTGCCAATCTATTTGCTAGGATTTTCATGATGATTTTGACTACACTGTTGATCAGACTAATGGGCCTGTAATCTGATAGAGATGTTGTATCTTGTATTTTGGGCAACAGGATGATATTTGCTTCGTTAATTAAGTTTAATCTCGCAGTCCGGTGACTGTAAAAACTCATGACCGCCTGGACCAAGTCCTCTTTTATAATTGACCAGCATTTTTTGTAGAACACGCCCGATGAAGCCGTCCGGACCCGGTGCCTTTCCAGAAGGCATGTCTTTCACTACAGCCTCTATCTCTTGTTCTGTGAAGGGCGCGTCCAAATCCTCTAGATCATGATGTTCATATCCCAACTCGCTCCAATTAATAGCTCTTGTTCTTGTGGTTGTTGTCCCCAACAGGTTTGAGAAATGTGTATGTGCGAGCATGGATTTATTCTCTTGTGAGACCACCAGGCTCGTATCACCCTTGAGTGCACCAATAAATGTTTTCTTTCTTCTTATGTTGGCATGCAATTGGAAGAAACGCGTGTTCGTGTCACCTTTGCGAATCCAAGTAAGCCTCGAGTGCTGCTAGTGACATCGCACGATCTATAGTTGGGTGAAAAAGTTGTTTCCACATAGCCCAAGTCCAGTGCATGCATGGTAAGATGACATGGGCGCGCACAACGACCATCGTTGTGTAACTAGCTTTATAATGTTTACACTGCACTTCACAATATTTTTCACGTGGAGTTTGCACACGCACGCATGCATATCATCGACCATTGTGTAATCGGCAATGATTCGAGATTATCCCTGGAACGACTTAGCTTATTACATGATGGATTACAGAGACAAGCAGTACACGGAACAAACAACTTTACATACATAATCTAGGGCTTTCTGTAAGGGGTTACAGTTGTGGAGCTTTAGTGCGTGGCCGTCGTCCCCGTGGCTGCCCTAACTAGGGTTAAAAAATTCGATGAAATTTCACTGAAATTTTGTGAATTTCGGTACTTTCAGGGGTGGCACAAAGATATCCAAATATTACACTAATGCATGTGTTATATGACTCTAAACTTTTTGTTTATGTTTCATGTTCTCCTACTCAAAAGATGTGTAATCGTAAATCTTTTTAATATTCTGTTTTAGATCTAAGATTTTTAGAGAGAAAAAAAAAAATTTCATGTTTAAGCCTCTGAAAAAATTCAGAGAAATTTCGGTCAAGTTTTGGTAATTTCGGTGGTGGTCTAAATTTTTCTAGTACTGAAATTGAAAAGCATGGGCTGCCCTACGTGGAATTATTGTATCTATTTTGGATTTGAGTACTGACGATGTCTAGTCCTAATTACACTGGATTCAGGAATAATTTTAGGGGGCTGAACAACACATGTCTCTGACTGCTGCTCGATCTTAAGGCTCAGCCCCACCTACACTATAAAACTTTACCTAAAATTTCATACCTAAAAATTCATGGAGACTAAACAGGAGTTCCACTGCTCCACGCGGTATGGGTAGGGGGGCTCGAGCCCCCTCCCCCACCCCACCGTTGGATCCGGCCCTGTCTGTCTGTGTAGACCTGGTCGTGGATTCGTCGCACGCGTCACGAGGTGATGGTCCGTCGTCTGCAGCTGTTGCATGTGCGGTCGACGTAGGCAGCTAGCTTGCATGTGCGCGTGTCTGTGCCGCCGTGTGCCCGCGGGGCTTCTGCGCCTGCATGCATGCGATGCTCGCAGTCGCACGTCGATGCATCCGGATCGATGCACGGAGCCGTTGAGGCGTTGACTCGTGTGAACCATGCACGGATCGATGTGGACCGGACATACGGGACTCATAACTAAACCTTGTCGTAGCTGTGTTTTCGATTTTGTTAGACATATACTAAGGATCTGTCATCTGTTAGGTATAGTTTTCTTGCGACTCTTGCATCTTTTACCCTAGTAACACTGATCATAGAAATTGTTTTTCTCTCTTCTTGCAAAACGTGGAGCCGAGAAAAACTACGATTTGTGGCTCCGATCCTTTGGCTCCGGCTCCACCTCCTCTGATACTATAGCATTGGGCCGAAGCCTGAACGAGCCCGACCAAATGGAACCTAAGGCTATTTGTACTTAGGAAGGTTCGACACGTGCCATACACACATATTGTGGTGCCAAAAGTGGTCATAGCTGTGTTTTCAATTTTGATGGCAGACGTTGCCATTCACTTTAGGTTTATTTGTTACGAGCAAACTTCTCTAACTTTGATGGAGTTTTTACAAAGATATATCAATATCTGCAAACACGGATCATTGATAATATACATATAGTGAAACTAATATGTATTTTTTTTATAAACTTAGTCAAAATAAGAAACAAGAGTTTGGGTCTAGACAAAGCTACCTAGACGGTACGGTACTTGTGTGTGACGTTTCTAGAATGAGCTCTCTTCTAGAATTATCTCTACCCAGTTTCATTTTAATTACTCACAACAAAGCAGGATTATATCGGTAATCGTTTTATTTTTCTTGAAAAAAGACCACATGCGCATGCCCGCCATCTCCAATTATAAATAGAGCGTCTCGGCACCACCAAGACGACCACTCCAAAGTCGCAGCTCCCAACACAGCACCCATCCTCATCCTCTGTTCCAGCCAGCAGCTAGCAGAGCTTCTGCTCCTCTTGCTCTTCGTCCACAACGCCACGCTGCATAGTTTCAGTATCTCAAGACCGACAGAGATGAGGCGCTGCAGCAGCAAGACCTCCTCGCCCCTTGTCGCCCTCGCTCTCTTCCTCCTCCTCCTGGTCTGCTCCTCCTCCTTCCACCGCGCGGCAGCTGCTCGCCTCCTGCAGCCTGCTGCTCCTCTTCCTCCTCTGATTGCTCACCATGGTTAGTGTTGCTGAGCCTCTGTGTTTATTGGCCCTACCAGGTTAGTGTTGCTCCAATGTTTTCTCAACTATTTCTTGTGCAGAGGATGGTGCCAAGGCGGCTGCCGCTGCTTCTTCTGCATCTGACGGCCTAGTGCTTCAGAGTGCTGCCGTGGTCGGTGGCGACGAGCTTTCAGCCTCCTCCGAGGTGACAACCGAAGACGATACTGAATCCGCTGCTCTTCATCAGTTTGAGCAGTAAGTTAGAGTTTGACCTCTCTTCTCGTTCTGGCTCTTGTTCAGATGATGGGAGCAGAGTCGGAGGAGGAGGAGGGTGCAGCGGCGTGCGAGGAGGGCAACGACGAGTGCTTCCAGAGGCGGCTGCTTCACGACGCGCACCTCGACTACATCTACACGCAGCACAAGGGCAAGCCATGAGGAGGAGGATGCAGATGAAGCCATGGAGGAGCGAGGAGGTCTTCGTCTCGGTTGCTACGGCCGGCGTCTAGTCGTCGTCCATGCTGGAAAGTTCGTGGAGGGAATATAATCACTTGCTAGATGAATGCTGCAACTAACACCGTACGTCATCCGTCTAGCTAGGAGTATATATACTAGTAGTATGCTTGTGTACGTCTGACATCTCTTTGTACGCCGTCTCCAAGTCTAATACATGATGCATGGTGCGATTTTCTCTAGTCTTTTATTTTCTTGGTAGTATTGTCAAAAAAGAAGAGTATATGATGCATAAAATTAACGGTGAAAGGTGGTGCTATAAGAAGAGCTCTTCTCCCTCTTTCCTCCACATAGGAGTGGGCTAGCATACACATGACAGATACACTGTTGCTATATTATTTGTCCACACCTTTATTTTCCCCCTAAGGCGTGAACAAATAAATAACATCTCTTCTTAATCCGATGTTTGTTATTGGAGCCATCATTAGTAAATAGTAGCAATTACTCATATAGTGAATTGGCTATAAGGTTGGCTTACTAGATCGACTATCATTTTCCATTTCTCTTTCTTTTTCCTCTGCATTTACTTTGTTTACCAGCTTGGAGCGCCTATAGAAAATGGGTTGTTGCATGAGATCCATTATATTCCTCTCAATTTTTTTCTCTCGTCTATTCTCATTGAGATCTCATTCTCATTCACAAAATAAGTAAAGCTCCCATGTAAATGGGCTATAAACCCCTTTTATATTACACACACACGCACGCACGCACGCTTCGATTCCTCTCATACGTGCGAAACGTTGCATAGCAGTGACAAAAGGTAACAAAAAGCAAAGGAACATGCCCGGGCGGTATAAAGAATTCCTCGATAACATGTATTCTTTAACTTAGTGTGTTTGTGTCCTTGTTCATGTGTTAATTTTCTTGGCCGCGACACACATGCCGAAACATTCTAGGTGTGCCAGCAACACGTATCCCAAAACATTCCGACACAAGTTAAACAATGATTAAATTAAAAAAAATCAACCTAGCCACAATATGTGCATGTTGCTGGTTACTCTCCTAGCTTGTCCCAAAACATCACATGTTTTTTTTTGGCGAATCCCATACAAAGTCATTTCTATTTTAGTGTTAAAATATTTCTAAAACGCACATAGGTATTAATGGAGGTCGTCATCTACGTATTTCTCCGTAATGCTCAAATGCCTAGAATGTCTGGTAAACATGAAGCGGTGTCATCCACTCCGCGGCAGAAAAAGGGGCGAGGAGCACCGCATGCATAAGCATTCGTATCATCGCATCCCGCGCTTGCCGGTTACCTTTGGCACAATTGCATGACCTAGTGACTGTATATTCCTTTTGCGCTGTCCTTTAGTCTTATCTTTCTGGATATTCTTTGGTATGGTATATATATATATATATATATATATATATATATATAACTCATACCCTATATATAGCTTGCTACAAAATAACTTATTCTATAGCCACTTTGAGTTACGATAATTACTATGTTAATTTACGAGATTATAGTAACTCCTTACTAAGTGATTTACTATAATGTTATGGTAAATATCCCCATGTGATATAGTAACTATAATATTATGGTAAATATCCCCATGTGCTATAGTAACCCAACTATCGTAAATATGTATTGATATTATCGTAAATTAGTATATAAAATTATTGTAAATGGAGGTGGCTACATAATAACTTATTTTGTAGCTGGCTACTGAATATACTCTCTCTCTCTTTATATATATATATATATATATATATATATATATATATATATATATATATATATATATATATATATATATATATATATATATATATATATATATATATAGACACGCGCGCGCGCGCCCCTCTCAGACGTGCGAAACGTTGCACAGCAGTGACAAAAGGTAACAAAAAGCAAAGGAACATGCCCGGGTGGTATAAAGAATTCCTCGATAACATGTATTCTTTAATTTAGTGTGTTTGTGTCCTTGTTCATGTGTTAATTTTCTTGGCCACGACACCCATGCCGAAACATTCTAGGTGTGCCAGCAACACGTATCCCAAAACATTCCGACACAAGTTAAACAATGATTAAATTAAAAAAATCAACCTAGGCACAATATGTGCATGTTGCTGGTTACTCTCCTTGTCCCAAAACATCACATGTTTTTTTTTTTGGCGAATCCCATACAAAGTCATTTCTATTTTAGTGTTAAAATGTTTCTAAAACGCGCATAGGTATTAATGGAGGTCGTCATCTACGTATTTCTCCGTAATGCTCAAATGCCTAGAATGTCTGGTAAACATGAAGCGGTGTCATCCACTCCGCGGCAGAAAAAGGGGCGAGGAGCACCGCGTGCATAAGCATTCGTATCATCGCATCCCGCGCTTGCCGGTTACCTTTGTCACAATTGCATGCCGTACGTGACTGTAATCCTAGTGTCCGTGTGAAAAACTAGCTAGCTAGTGTCCTAGTTCGTATACACAACTTTTTGAATGGTTGTGTGCATGCAAAATAAATAAATAAATAAATAAAGAGGGTGTGCGTGGTAGTCCTAGCTATCTAAAATAGCACTACAGTGTCCTATTGAGATTGGCAGTCTCAGACAATATGGAGGAGGTAGAGGCCTCCGCCTCTCAGATGGTGTGGAGAAAGTAGAGGTCTCCGCCTGCTACGCCGCTTCTCCCGGCGGAGGCCCAATGTTGAGACTGGCTGTCTCAGACAATGTGAAGGAGGTAGAGGCCTCCGCCTCTCAGACGGTGTGGAGGAAGTAGAGGTCTCCGCCTGCTACGCCGCTCCTCCCGGCGGAGGCATGGGAAACAAGCGCGATAGATGGGCGAGTAAGGAAATGGCACGTAAAACTAGGGTTACATTAATTCTCGCTCCAACCCCCCGCACGGTTACAAGTGTTCCCTATTTATAGGGCTCAACTACTTCCTGACGGAATTTATTACAATGCCCCTCAACTGCTACAGTACATTCCTGGAATATTCCGACGCTGGTCTCTCGTTTGCGGGGCAATCCCGCCACGCCGTCTCCAAGTAACGGGCCTCCATAAGCGGCCGGCCCACCGTACTTCGATCTTCGGCCCAAAGACTCGGGTTCCCGATGCTGGCCTCCGTCTTTGGGGGCGCGCCGTCACCTTGGCGGGTCTCCGCCGGTTCGGTCGGAGACGTCAACCGTGGGTCTCCGCCCGGCCACGCGGGGGCCATGCTGGCGCACTCGCGCGGACCACGGGCGCCTGCGCTTGAGTACCTGCACACATTTAGGCAAGATTGTTTGTTCAATTAGTTCAGAGGTAAGGCGGCCTCCGCCCTCATGGTTGGAGGCGCCCATGAGCTGGCGGGCGGCGCGTCACTTTGAGCATAGGTCGGAGGTCTCAGCCAAGCGGCACAGGGCGGAATTCGCGACAAGCTTGCCGAGCCTCGTGTAGTGCCCTACGAGCATAGCCGGAAAGTTCCTTTAGTCGGCGCCAGTCTCTCGCCCCAAGACGGTCGAAGACACCTTAGCGACACCATGCTTTGTCCGGAGGCCTTCGTCACACCACCGGCTGCCGTGTTACAACAGTTCCCCCCTTTTGAGACCATGGTTCGCCGGAGCGTGCCGTGAGCTCAAAACGCCTTGGCCAAAGGCGTCCGCGGGGGCGGAGGCCATATTCATCGGCGTCTTCGAGCGAGGCCCCGCTACTTCCCCCTGGCCCGCTCTGGCGTGGCCGCTGGTCTCGTTGAGAGTAGCCGTTGGGCAGCAAATCTAGCCATTGTCCTATGGCACGGCCGTTTATGCCGTGTCAGTTTCCATCGCATACCTTGCGACTTTTTTGGAGATGACCGTTATGCGGCAAGCGAATTTTCCGAAGGTGACCGTTGTGTGGCGGGAGCCGGACCGCCTGCCCGTTGCCTATATAAGGGTGTTGTTGGTGGCGGGGCCCCCGCATTGCTCATTCGCTTTCATCGCATTTGAGACATCGCTCTCTGCTCTCTTCGCTTTCGCCTTTCGCTGCCCTCGCGCGTTCCGTCTGTCTGCTTGCGTCTCGCGCTTAGGCTGCTGTCGCGGTGGCTTTTCTTTCCGCCTCCACCCAAACTCGCCGACCCGCCTTTTTCGGACCCTACCGCCACCTCCTCGGCATTAGGGCCGTCGGCTGGGGTGCGCGCTTTGAGGAGTGCATGCTTGCCTCTGCCTCCGCGATGGAGTTTGAAAAGCTGGTGGAGGAGGATTTGGGGAGTGTCTCTACGTCTGTCGGAGACCTGATCGCCGTGGATTTCGGAGTCATGGCGATAAAGTCATGGGATTTCGGCCCCTCCATTACTGAGGAGGCGGTCGCGGAGATGTTGAAGGAATCGTATTTTCCTTCTACGAGGGTAAAAATCCCTCCGCTCGGCCAGACCGTTCCGGAGCCGGAAGAGGGATATGCAGTGGTGTTCCGGGACTTCTTCACCTGCGGCCTCCGCCTTCCTTACGTCCCCTTCCTCCGCCGGGTATTGGGGACTTTCAACGTCCAGCTCCATCATCTGACTCCTACGGCCTTCCTCACGCTCAGCAAATTCTGCTGGGCGTGTCTCTCTTATGGCGCCGAGCCGGATGTGGACACCTTCTGCGCTTATTACGAGCTGCAGAAGCAGCCAAAGAAGGAGATGCAGGAAGGCAAAGAGGTGGAGGTGATCTACCAGTATGGTAGTTGCACCTTCATGTCGAAGAGGAACCAAGGCGTAGATCGCTTGGAGATTTCATTCTGCCAGAAAGGCAAATGGGACCGTGACTGGCTTGAGCAGTGGTTCTACGTGAAGACCTACGGGGTCTGTGGCACCACCGAGGATGGTGCAGAGGTTCGGGAATATCCACTGACCTCAAGGATGGAGGTGATGGCGCCGTATATGCGCGTGGATCCGCCGGAGGCGGTGTCTCCGGCGAGGGAAGCCTATGAACGGGCCTTTGTGTTGGCGTGCCGTTACTCCGGGGGCCGCGATTTGGTGGAGGAGAT